TGAAGAACGATTGACAAAAAAGGTGTATAAGGCGAGTATGAATGAAAGTGTTGGAAGGGGTAGACCTAGGCAGACGTTTCTAGACCAAATCAGGGACGTCTTGAAAAAAGGCCAGGTCAAGAGTACACTAAACCGAAGAGCATGTATGAAGGGAATAACGAAAGTGGACGAAGCGAAACAAGTATGTAGGGATCGTAGCAAGTGGAAAGAAGTGGTCTCTGCCTACCCATACGGGAAAGAGGCGTGATTATATGTATGTATGTATTATTTATTGCAACTTTTAGTGGATGTGGTGCTCTTGCTCAATTAGTTTGATTTCTGTTTGTTTAGAGTTTATATGTATGTTGTTTAGTTTTTTCTTATAATGATGTATACACGCGTAAAGACATAATTATACTTTGTCTAAAAAATTTTGTATTTCATTTGTAACAATGCATATTGATATTGTCGATGATGTATCTATTTATCTAAATAAATAAAAATTAAAAACAAAATGATTTAAAACTTTTCATTCGGCAATATACTCGTAAGATGACTAAAATAAATATATGGCCATTAATATTTTATTGAACCAGTATTTTTTGGTTAGTTGGGTTTTTTGCAGCTTTTGCACTGTAGAACGGGTCGTAAAGATAAACATAACGTTTATTAAATATAGAAAATATTAGACAACAGTTGCAAAAATTGTAACGAAAATTTCTAGGTCGTTAGACGTAAGATTATACAATTAATATTAATGTATTTTATACGTGGTAGAGCCACGCTGCAACTATTTTATAGCAGTAGCACGAATGTGTCTCCTAGACCGAGGAAGGACCACGCTCTCACAGAATACCAGCATAAATTAGCAGTTTAATGCTAATGTGTTTGGTATGATGAGTATAGCGAGTAGTAGAACCGGAGATCCTTTTTACTGGAAATGAAGCATTCCATCTTAGTATTCTGGGGTAACGACGAGTCTGAATTTTGATTCTTAATTAAGGATAGATCTATGAGCTACAGGATTCAGTAACCATCAGGTGGACTGTGAGCTAGTTGGTAGTATTTCTATAAAAATATTCAAAGAGAAAAATGAAACAAATAATAATTATGCAATAATTTATTTATACACTAATAATTCAATGTTTCTTTTTATCATATTCACACTAATAAGAGTCATTAAGTAGTAAATACCGTAACATTTTTCTTTAAATTGAATTTGTTTTTATCATTTAGTAAAATTTCTAGCTGCAATATATACGACTTTAGTTAGCTTCATAATCATTTTAAATTAATTAACAATAGTGGTTTGATTAACTAGGACTTGAAGTTGCAATTTATTCCGACTGTACCGTAGACCATACCATAGATTTTATATCTTTTTATATTATATTAATCTAAGCTTTAGAGTTTAGAGTCACAGAAACAGAATTTTAATTAAATTAATTTTATGTTTCTTTAAAAGAAACTTTAACACCAATACTAGGAAATGCACATTTTAGTTGATATTTAGTTGCATGTATGTTAAAAAAAATATTTTATTTATATTTATAAAATCAATAAAATGATTCATAATTTTAAAAGGTTTTCCAATAATATAAAATAAATAGTTACGGATTATAATAACAAAAATCGAAAGTAGTAAAATATCAATTAAATATCCAAATGAGTATTGATGCTTAGATTTTTGATGGAAATACCCATGTTAAAATTCTACGATATAAGTCCATGTTAGTCAAACCAGAAAAATAACGGATTTGTACTTCTTATTCCGATTGGAGATTTCCAAATTTATTAACTATTCGATCGTTTAAAAGCAGTTTTGGTTTGAACTATTATTGTTGAAACTGTCATACATTTAATCGGGCACTAGTTATTAAGTGCTGACCTATTTTAAACTAGTTTTTAGGTGAATCATTAGACAATATATTAATGTAAATCAATGCATAAAAGCCCTTCCCTACAAATATTTTTATTTTGTATATTTTTGGTAAAATTTGATACAACTTTGAAAAACAAAACTTTTATCGCTCCAATCGGAACAAGCTGTTGTATAATTTGATAATTAATTTGACTTTTATGATTGTAATCTACTATATTTAAAATATTTCATTGGCACTATCTATGTATATCTATCACAATCGGACCTTGCAGGTAAACTTAATGTAAACGACAATAATGTTGACTCAATTAACTTTAGATTTCTTGGGAAAATCAACAAGATAATTTTTTGAAAGTAGGTTGCAAAGTTCATGTTTTGCTTTAACGCAAGCTCGTTTAATAACTACTAATAATATTTTAGTTAAATTTTAAAAGAGCAAATGATATTTTAATGTAACTATTTGAAAAGATTCTATATTCGAATATCACATTTTATCATATTAATATGACTTGCCAATATTATAATGCAAAGAAACAAGTAACTAAAATAAATTAAGGTTTTGAAAAATAACGTTAGCCTTTAAGCATTTTGTCCTCCGTACATATTCCGACAAATCGTTTTCTCTTTATATAGTCCTAAAAAATGTTTAACATATCTTAACTTAAACCTTAATTCTATATAATTAATGAACATACTAAAAAAAATCGATCTTCGATGAAAACATATTTAAAAGTTGAACTTGCGTTAAGGCAAAAGCTATTTATAATTATAGTTATTTATTTCCAAAATGTAATTTAATTGATTTCAAAAGCATTCAAATACCTGGATTGTCGTGACATTTCTAATTCATTTAAGCCCATTTTATTACTTCTGTTAAAGAAATTAAATGGAATGTTAACTATAACTTCAGACCCATAAGTCTTAAAATATTCTAATATAATTTAAAGCTACAATATTTGCAAATGCGTAAACTATGATGGCATAAATTTTGGATTTTAAGCTTTTTAAGTGATTAAATTTTTTAAATTTTGAACTAATTTGAATATTGTTTATTTTTTATAATGTTACTTTAATAAAGTGAAATAGTAATCTGTATTTATTCTAACAAACACTTTTGTAATGTTAATTAATTGCAAAAATTGTAGTTTCAAACAAAGAATTGACAAATTGAATCGGAAAGCTACGGTATTATACGTAGTCAATCAACTATTTGGATTAAATTTTAAATCGGCTATACAATTCCCGTTCTGGTTAGCAATATTTATCGTAGGCTTATCAAAAATAGAAGGATTAGAGTTATATATACATATCACAAAATATATTCATTGTTATTATGAAATAACGTTGTTTTCAGTACCAAATCATCATAAAATTATAAAAGACGTCAAAAATAATAAAAATAATGTAAAAATTCGATTCGAATGATCTGACGTCAAAAATGATAAAATAGGAATATAATAAAACTATGGATATACGTTGTTATCAATTAATTAACCCTGAAGTACCAAAACGATGACAAAGAACAATGAATCGATATTGAAAACAACGTAAAGTAGGCCTGACACCACATTCAGACTGGACCACTGAAAAAGAGGTATATCTGATTCATTATTTTATTATACAGAAATATTGCAATTATCAACCTATGTCTATATCATGCAATAAATATCGATGTAAGGTGCAGTTAAGACGTACCAGACACTAACGTGCATATGAAACAAGAAGTATTACATCTAAAGATTACACAGAAAAACTTGTAGAAGAAATCAAAGGTAATTGGGGGAAGTTAGAGATATAAGAGTTGTTATAAAATATTGGGTAGATAAGGCTTTTTGACATTACGATGCTATCAGCAGTAAATTACACAAATATTTAAATTCAGTCGACAAGATTCTAGAGTTAACAAATTTTAAACGACAATTTATACAGCATAGTTTTATAATAAAATTATTGCATACTGACATATCATTTTAAATTATGAATTACATATGTCAATAGCTATACTTATAATTATTAAATATTCGTAATTTGATAACCAGATAGACTATGAAAGTTATAAAACAATGAAAAGTGTCTAAAAACTTTTTACCGCTGATAAACTCTAATATGTAGGATTATATAAGTAAAGTTTCGAATGAGAGTTACACTAATGAAAAGAGATTCAAGCGAAAATGATATCGCTTAAGCAGCAATATTCATAAATAGAATTTCGAAAAAAGAACAGAAATAATATACAACCAAACAAACTCTGTATACTTTACAATTGATTCAATATTTTTATGACTATTTAAGCCTAATACACAAACAGATACATCTATAAATTATATTGTTAATATTAGTAATGGACGAACACATATCATTCGAGCGAATGCAGTCTACTTATATAATAATAATTAAGTCATTGTTTTCAATTCAACGTATCTTAATTCGAATTAAATGCAATATCTACATTACATTAAGTGCACTTCCAATTACATATTGAACTACCTATGATATTGATCACAATTTTTATGGTAATTGCGTTAAAAATGCAAATTAAATAGATGAATTTTAATTTGATATTTCTCGGACAGTGCACAAAATGTGTAGATTTTGGACAACGAAACCAAAATATAAAGCACTCGTAACAAATTTTGGGGCAGAGCAAACTCAATGTGCACAGAAGGGTTTCTATTTTAACAATAATATAATTTGTAGACTCAATCCCTTGAGATCACGCCGTTGCTTTTATTTTGAATATTCAATCACAATTTTCGAGGCTTCTATTCTTCCTTAGTTATCACTATTATAATTAGTGTCAATAAACAATTTTCACTTCAGTGTTAATATCCACCAACAAGTAATCTCACAAAGTCTTCGATCTTCACGTATAGTTACTACACTAACTAGGATTTGGCTATAAGAGAAGCGAGTAGGCCACGTTACAGGTACTATATGATCCGAAAGTTGGTTTGATTTCAACGTCTCACTCATTTCTGGATTTCAATAGCGAATTTAAACAGATATTCTAATTGCTTGAGATTAATGAATCCTTCTTCAAAGACCTTGTTAATATTTTTATCATCTGAACTCAAAATTTATATAAGGATGATAATAATTCATAAAACGCTTCGTAAATCCCTTAAAGCCAAAACAGCCCTCAAATGTAGAGATATGTTAAAAAGGAAATGCCTAAAATGACATATAAATTAGGTGCTGTTAAAAATCCTCGACCCCAATAGCAATCTAATTTTTTCGTGAGTACCTGAAATGTTTGGACAATATTTATTTTAAGTGAATAATTCAATTGTTATAGTAACAGTCTACTGTCATGCATATGCATTCGTCATTCTCTCAGTGGGTTACTTTAGTCATAAGTCTAAGCCACAGAATCTATAGCAATGTTCTTAGACTCAATAAATTAATGGAGCTTGGCTCCCGTTTAGATTTGTTTTTTTTTCGACGAAGTACATACCCGCACGTCCTTTGCCCCGCACATTGCCCCCTTTTTATCTTTATGTTTTTGGTTGGATTATACTTACGTCAATTAATGTCCGATTACTGTACAAGGGACAGATGGCGAACCTAACGTCGTCACGTGTAGCGACACATTTCGATGGACTGTCACAAAGATATTGTCTTCTTTTACGATCCCATGCTTCGATCCATCTGCAAGTTTAATTTATTAGAATTAGAGAATAAGTTATGCTTATACCATACTGTTTATTTTCACAATATTTGATAATTGTAATTGTAAACTATAAAAGGAAATAATCAGAGTATCAATAACTCAAACTAAAAGTATTCTTATACTTGTGTCATATCATGAATGTCAAAGTTTTTAATACGTAGTTAGTGACAAATATATACTAGGTGGTAAGACTACTATTATGTCTAGTAGTCAGTCTGGGTTTACCGTTTAGGTTTTTTTTATAGGATCGGATGATAAACGAGCACACAGTCCACCTGATTGTAAGTGGTTGCTGTGACCCATAGACATCTTCATCTATCCTCAATAAAGACTCAAGATGCAGATGCGTTGTCACCCGTGAGGACTAAGATGGAATGCCTCTTTGCCAGTAAAAAGGGTCTCCGGTTCTCTACACTCACCATACGAAACACAGCAGCGTTAAGCTGCTATTTTACGCTGGTTTTCTGTGAGAGCGTGGTCCTTCCCCTGTCGAGCCGACCCATTCGTGCTACAACCATAATATAGCTGCAGCATGGCTCTACCACGTAGGTACCACCCTCTTAGCTCTTTCATAAGCAACAGTGCTTGCACTGCTACTTTCAAACCGTCGCATACCAGTGGTTGCACCAAAGTCTTCTGGTTTGAGGAATTTTATCTAAGTCCTTTGTGACAACGCATCTGTAGGCTATACTTATTTTGAAGTTGGTGTCAGATGTCCATAGACTGCAGTAGCCACTATATCTATATCACTCTCAGGTGAACTACAAGTAAAGTTTCTTTGTCTGTTTAGATTTATACATAATATATATTATTGAACATTAGACCAAAAATAATGGGGTTAGTAAAAATATGCAACAATAAATCTTATAGATTGGTGCACTACGATCAAAATTATTATTTCCAATACCCCTTAAATGAACATCTTTAATCAAATTTATATAACTTTCTTCTTTACTGTCGTTTTTTTCCACTTCAAAATTTTCTTTAAAGACAAAAATCTGCATTTTTGTCCGAGAACAAAAATACCCTAGAATTATTTGAAAGTTGCATTCCCCATTCTATCTTATACAGGCCTTGCATTTTTAAGGTGTTGAAAAGCAATCCTGTTTTGATTTAGTCTGACCCGGAGTATTATTTACGTATATTTGATCTAATTTCAATAGCTTACCCTGTCCCACAATCACATGCTAAGGGGTTTCCGGCTACAAGTATATCGTGTAGGAATAAGTTATTAGGTACATCTGGCCATTCCTTATGCGCTGGGTTAGGCACTCGGGCTAATTCATTATATCTGAGATCCAGGGTCAAGTTTTTAATACGACCTGGTTGCCAAAACACTTCACTAGCGATGTCTTCAATGCTTGTGTTTTGGATTGTAAGTCGAAAGACCTTTGAATGCACTCCCTAAAATAAAAATATTAAATATTAAATGAGAAATTTAAATATAATGTATGCTCAGCGGAAATGAGAAAACATTAATGCCTAAAAATTAAAAAAAATCGAGGCTACATATGTGAAGTCCGCATGTGACACGCATTGGATCAACGCGGCGGATTCTTCCCTGCCACAAAACTCTCTCAGTAAATTGTAGGTATGTTTTTCCGTAACCACCACGGAAGAGATTGGAAGAGGTCTGCCGGTCTGGTATAGGTTTCGCGTCATAGACCTGAATTTTAAATCGCTCATATATGAGAAGGCCCGCTGTCTATCGGAAGCTACGAGGTCTGTCTGGCATTTTCCTCTAGTCGCTTCTTAAGAAATGTGAGTGGTAATATATGACTAACTTTAAATACTTAATATCTAATAAGAAATAACGAACTTACACTCAGTAAATATTGAGATAAAAACTTCAAAGATCTTCCAGTTAATGTAATATTATTCAGCTTGCAAGGTAATTCCCCAAACATCTCTTTACCGAGATCTATTTGAGTGTCGTCCACTTGGATCAGAAGATTTTCTAACGCGGCGTTGTACGTTAACAGGCGTGGTATATTGAAATCTCTTACGCTGGAGTAAGCATTAATCTTTAATGTGCGTAATCCAAACATCTTGCTGAACACACCATGCTGGAAATATTTATTTACATATAGAAACTTACGTTTACAAAAAATTTTCTTGTGTGAATTAAAAAAAAAGTAGTAGCCTTGTGAAATATCTGAGATTTGAACTATAAGGTATTACTAATAACATAATATTAATATATTTGTTAAATACTACTTAAGTTTTGAAACCCACTCAGAAATGAGGGGCGGCTCACTGGTCACTGGTGAACATAGGTCTCCCTCATAGAGTTGTCTCATAGGGGCATATTTGCCAAGGCATTGGCATAAGGGAACCACAAATTTTAAATTATCCTGGTTTGCATGAGCATTAGTCTCACACAACATCTAAAGCTTCTATTTATTAATGTACACTTTGTTCAGTTACGTACTATTTTTGTCCAAAATTATCCAGAAAATATAATCAAATGTCAATGTTATATAGGTCAATAAGATGGCAGTTTGTTTTTATCCAACTTCCTTTACTGCCGACTTCAAAAAGAGACGGTACTCAATTCGACTGTATGTTTTTTCTTATGTGTGTTACCTCACAACTTTTTACTGGGTGAACCGATTTCGATGATTCTTTTTTATTTGAAAGCTAATACTTCACATGTGGTTCCATATGAATTTGATCAAGGTCAGACCAATATTTTTTTAGTAATTCTTAATAACTTATATTGAAGTCGGCTGTACAAAATTTTTAATTTTAAATTATCTTATAATTTGGAACGATATTCGTAAAGAAATAGTAAATGTACGGATAAATTTACCTCTAAAATGTTCAGTCTAAGACGTGTTACATCAAGATATTCTAGACGGGGCGATACTCCATAAAGGCTTGTGTTTCTTAGAGCGGTTATTGGGTTTCCTGATAAGGAGAGCCAGCGTAGATTGGTTAATGAATGTGTTGCCTACAAAAAGAAAGTTATTAATATCAAACAAAAAATTATACAACATTTAAATTTCAAGACATTAATTAAACACATACTTCAGGGACTTTTGTAAAATCATTATAAGATAAGTCGAGAGCTCTAAGCCTAGTCAAATTCGCTGTAGTTTCTGGTGATATTGACGGTAAATTGTTGTATGATAGATCTAGGCTCTTCAGCTTTGATAATGACATAGACGGAATCTGAAAGATAAAAATTATTAAAAAAAAATAGAAGATCAAAGTTAAAATAATTATTTCCATCATTTTATGTATGCATTAAAGGTTATAATTAATAATTATAAAAATTCAATTAATTATAAAACAATTAGGTACCAAAGATTTTATAAAGCAAATTTATTTAAAAAAATGTCTACTTTTAAAATGTTTAATAAAAAAAAACCATTATAACACGGCATAGTAATCGCATACTCACGGACACCAAGCTCACATTCCTCAGGCCTAAATGTGATAATCTCCTTTCTAGACCCTTAAACATACTGTTTACACGTTCACTTGGATTGAATGGGGAATTGTTACTCAAGTCCAACCATCGTAATTTTGGTAGTGCTCCAAATGAACCACCTTCAACACGCACCAGATGGTTGTCGGATAAATCCAACCACGCAAGGGACTGAAATAGAAATCATATTCATTTTTAAAATGTGAGAAATACCAATAATGCACAACAAAGCACGGTAAAAATGTATATATTTATTTTAAATGTTTCTATATTCTAGGGAGAGTAAGTTGCCTATGCAAGAATGTCAATGAAATAAAGTTATAATTATTGGGGTTATTTAAACAAAAATAAATGTAAATTTCTATTAAATAACTATCTTTAAAATGAATTGTATATTTAACCTAAATTATTGATAATTCATAAAGTTTATTGATACAAATAAATACAGCCCAAGTAAAAAAATAAATAAAAGAAACATTTCAAAAACTATTATATACCTACCTTTATATGCAGTTTTAAAAAAGTACTTACTTTGTAACCAAACAAGCGCTAAACGTAACCAAAGGATAGGAAAAGAAAAAGCAATAAAGTAGTTATAAGCCAAAAACGAAGTGTAATTTAAAAAGTTATAGAAAATTTTAATAATGCGTAGAAAGAAATATTTAAGCTGCCTTTGAATTACCAGTCTTATTTCAGCGAATCAGTGTTTCACGTGGTACGTGGTAAAGCCATGCTGTTGCTATTTTATGGTTGTTGTACGAATGGGTCGGCTTGCTCGGGGGAGGACCAAGTTCTCACAGAATATCAGCGTAAAATAGCAGCTTAATTCTGCTTTAATTCTTATTTTGAGTGTAGAGAACCGGAGACTCCTTTTACTGGTCATGAGGCATTCCATGTTAGTTCTCAGGGGTGACAACACATCTGCATTTTGATTCTTAATTGAGTATAGATGTAGATGTCTATGGGTGGGTATGCACCCACTTACCATCAGGTGGACTGTGTGCTCGTTTGCCAACCTTATTGCAAAAAAAAACGTTTTATAGTACGTTATCTAGAATATAAACAAAAAGAGATAAATATATTTAGCAGACTGTAGAAATGAAAGATCTAATATCATAAACATGACTATCGTTTATGCCAGATATTAATAAATAAATAAAGCAAATACACATGTTCACAAATATAATATTACACTTGTGTCATATGGTTTATTTAATGTTTTTAAAAAATTCAGGTTCATCTATCAACGATCTACCTTGTACAAAATATTCTGCGGGAATTGCTTTTTTTGGTGAAACACTCGCGTGTGATCCCTTCTAGCTGTGTGGTACATGTATTCGTCGTTGTAGTCATCGTGATCCTCGGGCCAGTAGTCCTGGTCAGGGTTCTGGCAACACATGCAGGGACAAGGCCACAAGTTAGCATTAACTACGCACACACTGGCTGATGCAACTACAATTTTGTTAGTAAACATACACAGGGTAATTTGTCACTTGTTTGTTATGAAGTCGCAATATCATTACTTTTATGCATTGTGTATGGCCATCATTTTATTAAAAATCGCCTTTTTAGAGAAATTTTCTTAACTAATTTTAAATATTTTACAAATTTCAATTATGTTTGAATTAAAATAGCAAATTTTATAAATTATTATAGTATTCATAATCACAAACAAGCAACACTAGATGACATTTTTAAATACAGATGAATATTGTAAAATAAGACATCACAAATTACTGAATATAAACATATAAGACAAATTACATTTCACGATCGTAATATTTACATTGTTTTATTTTAATAAAGATACGTACAAGTGTTTAAATTCAAGCATTTATTGAAACTACGTCTCAAACAACATGTTAATTTCAATATAATTTTGCATTGAATGCATTAAATTTGATGTCATAGTTACCCTGAATCTCTGAACCAAGTCGCTGATCGAGACTGTGGGTATGCTATTTCCTCTCAAGTTCAACTCGACCAGATTGGCGGCAGCGGCGTGAGATAAACAATTTGTTGGCACTCTTGATAAATCATTGTTTGACAGATCCAATCTGTTGAAATATTTTGTAATTTTTATGTAATTAAATGTATCAAAGAAATAAAACTGATGGAAAATATTTATTATGATGACCGCAGCAGACAACATAATCCAAATAAGTTAGGAAGACGCGTGGTTGAGTGATACTGCCTATGACTCTTTTTGTGTTGCTTCCATTTCTCTCGCTTATTTTTGTCACCACGCAACAGTGCACGCACTGTTCTGTTCTAGTTTGAAGGATAACTTAGAATTTATACAGGCTGTGAGGTTTTCCAGCAGTTTATAATGTTATATTACATTAGTGAGTATTATCGAATTGATCATAATTTTCAGCATAGTTATCTACATCTTATCTGGCCTTAAGCATACGAGTAGCTGAATGCTGAAAAATTGCCGTTACTCCTATACTTGGCTGCTGGTTAATACAAAAAAAAGCCTGGATATTTTAGGCTACATATTTTCGAGGTTATCTTTTATTGCACATGAACATATCACATCAACAAGGTACGTAACTTTTCAAGAGAAAATTATAAGTAAAATTTTTGATATAAATGGCTTCATTTTTACCTTTCGATTGACGGAGAAAGAATAAGATTGTCTGCTAAATTTTTAATGCGGTTGTCGGACAGGTCAACGGAGGTCAGACCTAGCATCTCGTGGAAAACTTCTAAAGGCATTTCAATGAGCTGGTTATGTGAGAGATCGATGATCTGAAATATAAATAAAAAAATATATTAATGGTTTGAAGCGTTCACTATTCAAATCTTTTTTATATTATTTTTAATAATTTACATACGTAAGCTATTCCCACCCAAACACACACACATACCAGGAATATTTTCTGTTTTATGGTGTGATTTTATATAGTATACAAAGCGAATTACCATATAGGTCTAGGGCTTCATCACCACTGAGATTGTGGTCAAGCACTTGCTAATAATAAGTAAAAAATATACATAAACAGCTTATTGTAGGCCATACTTCATCATACTACATATATTATACCATAATGTAAGAATATCCACTACCCCTTTAAACGTAGTAGAGCCATGATGCAGCTATATTAGTAGTATAGTTGTAGCACGAATGGGTCGGCTCGACCGGGGAAGGACACCCTCTCATAGAATACCAGCGTAAAACTGCAGCTTAAAGCTGCTGTGTTTCGTGTGGTGTAGAACCGGAGACCCTTTTTACTGGAAACGAGTCATTCCATCTTAGTCCTCACGGGTGAAAACGCATCTGCATTTTGATTTGTAATAGAGGATAGATGTAGATGTCTATGGGCCGCAGCAACCACTTACCATCAGGTGGACTATGTGCTCGTTTGTCACCCTATCCAATAAAAAAAAACTCATATCATCCAGTGGTAAACGGCGACAGAAGGAATCAAATCAGATAAAATACAACATAGACTAAATAAAAAAATTACAGTTGTTTGAGCAGGTAGTAGCTTAAGTGTTTTATAATCAGTCGGGTTATAATTTTTTTTTGATGGGTATATTTTATCTAACGATGAAAATATAATTTAATATTTTAATATGAATTTAGTTAATGGAAATTTATTTGCTTTTATCTATATACTAATACTAATACTAATAATATAATAAAGCTGAAGAGTTTTTTTTTTGTTTAATTGTTTGTTTAAACGCGCTAATCTCTGGAACTACCAGTCCGATTTGAAAAATTCTTTTTCTATATTATAGCCAGATTTATGTGGAATAGTATAGGCTATCTAGCATTAAGCTATATTACTCAGCTAGCCTTAAATATGGATATTTGTTAAGTAAGTCGGAAGAAAAAGCACTCCCGAAATGATTTATCCGCGTACGCTGGTGTTATCGTTAGGGATACGTAAATACAATGTTCTAGAAAAATATAGAATTTTACTCCGTCTAAAAAAAAGTCCGCGATTCCATATGTCTATTTCTTACATAAGCCATAATTTGGTATTTTGTGACAAAAATATATTGAAAATTTAAAAGTGATTTATGAGCGTTATTATTAGGCATGGCCTATTTATCCTTACGAACTCAAGTTACTTCATCATCAAGACAATTTTATGAAGATAAACTTTGTTCTTTATACCATGTTATTTGGACGCATAGTTTAAGAGATAATGTAAAATTAAAATAATTCAATACTTGGCTGGGCGCGCGAACGACGCTTAAACCGTAGCCGTTATAGAATGCTTGAACTAGGTCATATCGCGCACCTCGGACACATGATGACGCGGGTGAAACCGCGGGGCACAGCTAGTAAGTTTATAATGACTTAAAATCTAATCAAAAAGAAGAGGAGAAGTTTCTCAGACTTGATTGGAAGATTTTAGGGATTGCATGTGCTAGTATGTTGGCTCTGCACGTAATATCCCGGTTTTACAGCCTTGTGAGTATTTGCAAATTTTTCAAGGCATTTGTCCAGCGGTGGATTTGTAAAGGCTGTTGATGTGATATATTATATTTCTTTATACCAGGCTTATTTTAAATAGCTCTAATCAAAAATTACCTGTAAATTCTTGACTTTCTTAAAACAATCGTACTCCATATGAAATATTTGATTGTGTGACAAATCCAGATATTGAAGCATCAGCATTGATCCAAATACTTCTCTTGTGATATTTCGGAGTAAGTTGTGTGATAAATACAACTCAGATAGCGTCAGATCGGCATGCCTAAAATATATTTACATACATGATCAAGTGACGTAATGCTAGCAAATAAAAATAAAATATGCCTAAAATTCTACAAAGGGTTTGCACGAATAGCCCCTTAACCATGCTCCTATCATAAATTAGTGTTTAATTTTAATGAAGACGAAAGAGTCCGGCCCATTATTGTAAGAAGTAAATTGATTTTCCTGAAATGCATTAGAATGGGTGATGGGAGCGTAAAATCCATCATTCATCGATCGTTTTGTACAATCAGTGTCTGAAAAAGTGACTATAGAAACTGCCACGAAGATTTCATGGCCTCCGATATATAAACCTGTATCACCATCCCTTATGCCAGAAGTTGTTAAACATGATTTTTTTTCGGTTTTATGGTCGGTGAAAGAACTACCGCGCCGGAAAAGGTGTGCAGGCCACGCTCCGTGTGGTAAGTAAGTACGGAGTTGTTCATATATACTGAACTAGTTCGTAAACTTCGATAGCGTGATTTAGATTTCGGTTAGCTTCGCTTGTGTTGCAACGACAGCGCCGCAGTTTGCTGTTTACACTGTATGTCTCACGTACTACTAAACTATTTAGTAATCTGTGGTACTACTTAAAACAATGCAATGACTTACACTATGGAAATTATTAATCTTAGACATAGTTACCTGAAATAATACGGTGCGATGTACGTTATATTATTATGAGAGAAATCTAAAACTCGAATATTGACTGAAACTGTTCCGATGCCTGCAAAATAATGTTTATTATTAATTTTTTACACAATTTATTGTAAAATTTAAGAGATTATAACATAAGAACATGAAGTAGATTCACCTTGCTGCAGAGGAATCACATTCTCAGAAATCAATTCTTCATAAGATGCAAAATAAAAGAAAAAAAAAATAGGAAGAAATGATTAGAAAATGGATAGGTTCGCACTACTTTTACAGCATGTAATAAAAACCTTGTCCGGGAAAATGGGAGAATATTTTCTGTCACCATCTCCTAGTCTATTAGCGCAACACTCCACTTTCATACAAATACAAACACATTGTGCTATTTGAACTCTACTTTTTTCTTAAATTAATTCTATGAATAAGGTGCAATCTAATAATATCTTGTATCGATACCGAATAGTATCCTCACTGGTCGGACAGGGTTATTATTGCAAGTTATATACGACTTATATATGAAAATAAAAAGTATAATGATGATTTCAATATTATTGTGTCTATTTATTATAATTGACCAAAATTATCGACTACGTAAAGGTAAAGTAAAGAAAGTGACAGGTTCTTTTCGCTATAATTATCATTATAGAAGCGATGCAAAAATAATTTTTAATATCGAATATCCGTTTATAGATTAAAAATATTAATTTTAAAATTTATTTCGTTGTATTAATTACCTTGTTTGAAAAATAATTTCTTATTACTTACTTTATAATTATTTCATAATTGGAATTTATTGCGTAATTATTTTAAAATTAATCTGTGTACATTAAAAATTCTACAAAGGTGATGAAAATAACATAAATTATTTTTAAGCGCCTATTATGGATTTATAATGCACATATAATGTGTATTATACATAATTTAATATGTAGTAGTATGAATCTAAGTAGAAATATCATATAATTTTAATAATGGCGGTGCCAAGTTGACTGTCGGTATATCGAAGTGCTAAAGTGCTTGTACAGTAGGGCTACGATGGCTATCCGAGTACAGAACCAGAGTACGAAACCTATCCAATTGCAGAGAGGTGTAAGACAGGGTGACATTATATCCCCGAAACTTCACCGCTGCATTGGAAGACGTTTTCAAGCTTCTGGACTGGAAAGGATACGGTATTAACATCAATGGCGAGTACATCACTCACCTTCGATTTGCCGACGATATAGTCCTTATGGCAGAATCGCTGGAGGATCTAAGCACCATGCTCAATGACCTCAATAGTGTCTCCCAACGGATAGGTCTTAAGACGAACATGGACAAAACAAAGATCATGTTCAATGTCCATGTCACACCTATGCCGGTAGTTGTTGGGAGCACTAAGCTCGAAATTGTTGACGAGTATGTATACCTGGGACAAATAGTCCAACTAGGTAAGCCCAACTTCGACCGAGAGGTCAATCGACGGATTCAATTCGGCTGGGCAGCGTTCGAGAAACTACGACACATCTTCTCGTTCCTCAAAACCTTAAAACGAAATTATACAACCAGTGCGTGTTGCCAGTAATGACTTACGGATCTGAGACGTGGTCCTCCACTGCTGGCCGTATGAGGAAGCTCAAGGTCGCTCAGCGAGCTATGGAGAGGGCTATGCTCGGAGTTTCTCTGCGTTATAAACTTAGAAATGAGGATTTCCGCAGTAGAACCAGAGTGACCGACATAGCCCAACGGATTAGTAAGCTGAAGTGGCAGTGGGCCGGCCATATAGCTCGAAGAACCGACAACCGATGGGGAAGAAAGGTTCTCGAGTGGCAGCCTCGTACCAGTATACGAAGTGTAGGTCCCCTCCCCCCACTAGATGGAGTAAGGACCTGGTAAGATATACAGGAAAACGATGGCTGACGACCGTGCTTTGTGGTATTACTTGGGGGAGGCCTATGTTCAGCAGTGGACTTATGAAAGGCTGTAATGATGATGATGATGATGATGAATGGGGTGGCCTATGTTCAGCAGTGCGAGACTTTGATAGAATATAACGGTAAACATAAAAGCTTATAAAAAGTATAAATACATAAAGCCGATTCTAAAAGTAAACCATAAAAGTTTGTAGAACTTAAGTTCTATTCATAGTTATAAATTATGAGTATCATATCATATAAATTATGAGTCATCTACATCATTACTTAACCAAAAATATACGTGATAAAATCCGTTAAATCTATTTTACTTGATGTATACTGTTTGTTAAGATATATAAGAAATGATTACTAAAAATAAACAGCATTAAATACTTACTTTGTGGTTTCGGAGGTGGATAGAAGTTTGAGGAAAAGAAAGTTGGAGCATTTGAATCGGTTAGTGAAGTTATTCGGTTATAGGAAGCATTAACTTTTAACGCAGTTGCTGACCCTACTTGATCGAAAATAGAAAACTTGAAAGTATCTAGATGATTAAACGATATATCCAACCTGAAATAAAAGAAGGGATAAACTCTTTCATAAAATATATATATATATATATTTAAATATGTGATAAACTCTTACAAAAATATATAAAATAACGTAAACTGGTTACTTTAACTCAAATTAAAAATAATCGAATACACAAAAATAATAATTATTATTTGATCCAGTAAAAGTTGTAATGAACTTACTCTTTAAGAGCCGGCAAATTCTGGAAAGCTTCCTCGGATATATCGATGATTCTGTTTCCCCTGAGTTTGATAACTTTTAAATTATCTAAACTAGTGAAAGATCGCCTTTGAATACTCTCGATTTGATTATCTTCAATCAATACTTCTTGAAGTTCTCTCAAGTCCACAAAGGTATGTTGGGCTATTTGCGTCATTTGATTAAGGGATAAGCACACGCTCTCTAAATATCTATGGATGTCGCCCTGAAAAGACAGAAAATAGACATTAAATTATTTTTATAATACAAATATTCATGTACCATTTTTCTCATAACATTGTTAACCGCATCCAGTACATTCTGATAACTAACCAATAAGGCTTTAGCGTCAACCAGGGTAAGAGACATGTTATTTTAGTCCTCAAGGGTGACAACGCATCTACATTTTAATTCTAAAACGAAGATAGATATAGATGACTTTTGATCACAATATGCACTTAACATCAGATAAACTGTGTGCTCGTTAGTCATCCTTACTTTTAAAAACAATTTGTTCTTCTTCATCAGTCCGTAGAGTCCACAGCTCGAGATGGGCTTCAGTCGTTAAAGGGAATATTACCAGACGTCTCGCTTATTTTACGTTGATCCATTTCGCCGGCCGGGATATTTTAAATCTGATATAAAAGAGATGGTTACACTGGCATGTATCTGAACTCACGAGATCTTTCTGCTATTTTCCACAATGTATTTTTCTGACACCGATGCTACTGTTTTCGTGTGCTCATATGTTACTCTTACACTAGCAAAAAATTGTTGGTAACCTATGTGTGTCATATGTTCGTAATATGCTCAGTGACCATTTTGTATGTGGTACTATTTAAACATACTATAATAAATTATCAACTTACTTGCAAAGTTCCTTTGGAGAAGTGGTCAATGTCATTATCTTGCAGATTCAGTGTTTTCAACTTGTACAAGAAATGGAACGATGTGTCTGGGACGTTTTTTATCTTGTTGTTGCTTAAATCGAGATATTGTAAGTCAATTAGGGCTTTTAGGGGTTCAAACGGCAGAATTCTAACCGTGTCAGCTAAGCCATTTGCCATCTTGAGGGTCGTTAGGCTATGTAACTGAAAATAATAAAGGATGCTATGAGTTTTGTAATGATATTGGTCATATGAGGTTAAATAAATATAATAGCTTTTCGAAACTCATAAGGCAATGTGTCATCCAGCTTATTAATCCAGGTTTCGCTGGACATTACCATAAAAGTAGTTTATACATGTAATAAATCTGTAGAAAATCTGTGTCTATAATCCTACTATTTATTGGATTAATCTAGTCCAGAGGTATATTTAAAAGATATTTTAGCCAAATTAGCGGCTTTGCTTTTATTTCTGTCTGTCTGTCCGTATTTGCGACTCACGAACTAATGGACGGATTGCATTGGTATTAACACAGCTAATGATCCTGGGTAATATTAATAATTTTTCCAACTACTAAAGGGAAAAAGTACTAAAGTTTGTACATTTGGGATGTTTATTTAGCAGGGATGGTAGATCTGATAAGGATATAGAACGACGAGTGAACGCAGGAAATAGAGTGAATGGGGCTCTACACGCTATTGTGAGAAGTCAGAATGTGTCAACTAAGGCACGTATGGCAATTCATAATGCTGTGTTAGTCCCTACTTTAATGTATGGTAGTGAAAGTTGGGTCTGGCAGAAGAAGCATGAGAGTAGAATAAATGCTGTAGAAATGCGTTCCTTAAGGAGTATGCTAGGGCTGAATCTGAATGACAGGGTGAGAAATAGTGTGATAAGAGAAAAGTGTGGTTTGCAAGGTGACGTTGTGACAAGGATTAAAAAAGGAATGCTTCGGTGGTTTGGTCATGTAGAAAGAATGAACGAGGAAAGAGTGACAAAGCAAATTTATGTTGCAGAAGTGAACGGCAGGGTCGGGAAGGGACGCCCTAGACGACCAAATCGGCGATACATTAAAAATGGGCCAGATTAGGAGTACCCTTAACCGACGAGCGTGTATGCGTAGATATGTGGATGTAAAAGAGGCGAGAGTGGTGTGTCAGGATCGCGCCAAATGGAAGTCCGTAGTCTCTGCCTACCCCTCTGGGTGACAGGCGTGAGTGTTTGTGTATGAATATATGTAAAGGGAAAAAGGGGGTTAGGTTTCCTTTCTTTTAAAGCTAGTTTTCTTAAAAGCTTCTTATGTCTTGTTTCTATGTTGTTATGTAAATCATATGAGGAATAACGTTGTGCTTCAAAACATGTACTTTATTAATAATTGACACCTTTAAATATCAAAACCCTTCAGTTCTTTAACAAGTTTGTGATCAACAAAGCAAGTAATCGACAATTTCATGTAAATACGCGTTCGAATTACATACATGGAAGCGGTAGGAATTAAAGAAACTGATTACCTCAGCAAACGCGAAGGGATCGATATAATCGATATTGTTCTCGGATAAATCCAAGGTTTTGATCGTTCTAACGTACTGGAACGCACTCGCCTCTATCTTGTTTATCGTGCTCCCAAATATCTTTAGATCTTCAAGCTCTACACCAAATTCAAGGAAGTCTTCCGCACTAATACTTCTTCTTATTAATTTACTTACAGCAAGATATCGCAGTGATCTCATTCTGAAAACAAATACAGTTTTATTAATAGCGTTAAATATTTTTACTTGATCTATTTAATTCGGTTGTGACTTAAAACCCCTTTTTGAAAATATATCCAATACAGTTTACAGTATTCTTCAGCAATGTTAGTATAGTGGTCGTAAATCATATTGCTGATCATGAGGTACCGGGTTCAAACCCTGGTCGGGCCAAAATCTCAGTTGTTTTTAAAGGCAAGTGGTTGCTGTGACCGATAGATATCCACATCTATCCTCAATAAACAATCAAAATGCAGATGCGATGTCACCCGTGAGGACTAAGATGGAATGCCTCTTTTCCAGTAAAAAGGGTCTCCGGTTCTCTACACTCACCATACGAGACAGAGCAGTTAAGCTACTATTTTACGCTGGTATTCTGTGAAAGCATGGTCCTTCCCCGGTCGAGCCGACCCATTCGTGCTGCAACTATACTACTAATATAGCTGCAGCATGGCTCAACCACGTTATTAGGTTTTTCTGAAGTTCACTGTAGCAGAGCGGAGTCAGAAAGTCAGCGGTTTTTCACTCAGTGCCTCGAAAAGCACGTTCAAACACCTTCCTTCACCGCCGAGCACGTGGTAAATCAGCACTTAAAATTACAATTAACAATTTCATCAATGTCGGCGGGGATAGAACCCGGGTCACTTGCGTACTTTGAACTGTACGGCCTTACGCTTAGGCACTGGGTTACCACCACTCATTACACAAGTTCACATTGGCCTCCACCAAGGAATGCCACAAAGCATGGTCTCGAGCGATCTGCATCCATCGACGGCTCATAGTACCGCTAATAGTGTAAGCATCATATTATAATCGTGTATACTTTATAATAATAAAAATAATAATTTATTTGATATAGCAGCGTTATTAATAGTTAAGTAAAAAATTATCCATACTTTCTTATATCCTGCAAACTGGTCTCTAACGAGGATGAACCGCTTATGTCCAAGAAGAACAATTTATATTGGAAATGGTTGAATGATGCTGGATTGTACTCGGATGGGTCGTTTGTAGTGAGCATATTAGTGTCCACCTGAAATTAGATAATATATAATTAATGATTTGTTATATTGACATGAATGAAAATATTCGTTTTAATATTATATTATAATATTAAAACAAAATTATAATATATTTCAGTACTTTACATGATTGGTGGTCTATTGAAGACAGGGCTAAATTAAGAGTACACCTATGTATGATGGATATTAAAAAGCGAGAATATATCAAATATAAACAGTTTAAAATTTGATTAGAATTCTGATAAATTGGGATCATGCCAAATGAAAGTGCTTAATCTCTGTCTGCCCCTCAGAGTGATGGGCTTAGTATATGAATGTATGTTTTTTAACTGTGTAATATTTTAATTAACAAATTTCTCGATAAAAGTAAATTGAGTTCAACTTGTATGTTGACTTAACTTTTGTTAAACATTTTAACTTTTTCGCTTTACTGTGAGGCTCACAGTAAAGCGAAAAACTCAATCGGCTTTACTCCGTCTATCTGATCTTGAGCCCTTGAGCTCTCTGTTTTGCTAGTTCTCGTTTAGATAATAGTTAGTGAAAATATCTAGATCATTAACGCGAACCGCTTACGGTGTATTCTATGTAGTACTGAGACCTTAAATCTATTTATTTTGAGTGTCTGTAGAAATATAATGAGGTAAGCTTATCTTAAGCCAATGAAACTATTACATAGTTATAAAATTACCTTATTCTCGCGCAGATTAAGTGACCTCAGTGAGTCTAACTTATTCAACATAAACCTTGAAAGTATTGTTAGGTTATTTTCAGATAGGTCCAAGCTTTGCAGACTGCTCTCAAGCCCAGCAAAAGAAGCAGGAGATAAGTCCGAAATGCTACAGTCCCGAAGCGAAAGAGTCTTGATTTTAGCATTTCTGAAGGCATCTTCCTGGAATACATACACAAAAAACAAATTAGAACAGTAAGATATCTTTATTTGCTATTTTTTTATTTATAAAATATTTAAAAACACGGGTACATAGGTATCGCAATATCCTTTAAAAAACATTATATTATTAGTACTAAATATAATGATGTTATATTAAAAAGACGTGTAGACTGCTATTTGCTTAAAATTAAGCAATTTTTTTAAAATCTGGCAAAACTGTCGTCGGTGACGGTTTGCAAAGTGACTGTAATTATGCAGTGTTTGCGTTTTTTATCATTGTTTCCAACGAGCAAACAGTAAACTGTTAGGTGAGGCCTGGAGTAAATAGAGGTCAAAGTCGTGATGACCGCACGCATCTAACACATAACAGACTTTTAACACGATACCTATAAGTACTCTCACGGATCAGACAGGGTTTATTTTATACTATATTATTTATTTTTATACTAGCGACCCGCCCCAGCTTTGCCTGGATAGGATCTATTGATGCGGCGTTATATAGATTTAAGATAATTATGAAAGGCCATTTATTATATCAAAATTTCGATTTCTCAAAAAATCTCCAAGTTTTTCTGAACCAAAGCCTAGATCACACCTGGAATTGCTCTCTATCTGATAGTCAAGTTTCATTATAATCGGTTCGACCATTCCGAAGTTTAGCTCTGACAGGCAGTTATTTCGATATTACAGACAGACACTTCAATTTTATTTATATGAGTAGATATATAGCTAATATACGGGTATTGAAACAAACCTTGTTTTTTTTAGATACACGAACTTAACCATCTTTGAAAAAAAAACAAATGTACGCACTAAAGACTAAGCTAAAAAAATATTAAACATATTGGCATGAACATTTCCACACGAAATTTGAACAGGATTGTTGCATTGGATACCAAGGGGTTCCTCTTTGTTCACCACGGGTGACCAAGCCACGGTTACTAAGCCCCCCCCCCCACCACGACAAGGCGGGAGCAGCCATCTATACCTAAGAACTTAGATGGAATTCTATACTACCAATAAAAAGGGTTTACGGTTTTCTACACCGACCATACAAAACACAGCAGCAACATGTTGTGTTTTGTATGTTTTACGCTGATATTCCTTCCCCAGTCGAGACGAGCCATTCGTGCTGCAATAATAATACTGCTGCAATGTTCATATATCCAACATTTTCCATTTCATATATCCAGCATTTCGTTCACTATATCCAACGTGATGCTTATGCTGTAAAAGGTGCACGATGCGTCAGAAACATGAGGACTATCCATACAACCAGACTCGAAAACCGGTTATTTGTAATAATGAATGAATTTGAACTTCGAACCCGTGACGTTTTAGCGTAGGAACTCTTTTCAAATATTGGCCATGTGGTCGTCTCATAATAACTAGAAAATAGAAGCCATTTGCTACTATAAAGAAAATTAACGAGAATATCCCTTGTTCGAAACCCGCCAATGTGTAACCCTATTTCTGCAATCAATTTACACTATATAATCAATTAATATATTATTTGTGCTATTTTACTTACTCTTAAAGAGAAAATAGGATTTCCATCTAATGATGTAGAATTCAAAATATTGAATGATTTAAAGGCGCCCGGCATTAACGTGCCAATTAAGTTGTTATCTAATCTGAAAAATGAAACAAAACATGTAAAATTTACACAAAGAGAAAATCAAATAAATGCAGAAATCATCCATAAAATTTTCTTTAATAATGTAAGAGGTAACAGCGGGGAATGAAACAGGAGAGGATTTTTCTGATAGCCGTTGCCGAACCGCCGGCCAGCCAACTATAACAAATCTCCCCCAATGAAGCAATCTATGAGGAGGCCTCAGTTTAGCAGTGAACTTTTTAATAGACCAAGATGTAAAAACGAACGAATAAATTAATTGCTCAACTTGCTTGCAAGGAGCATATTTAAAAATGAGAAATTTTAAAAAATATTTAATTTTTTATTTTATTAAGAAAAATACACGCCAGAAACTACTTTTTTAATAGTAATGCGTGCGGTATTTGGCAGTGAAGGCATCGTGAGGAATCCTGCACGACTGGGAAATAAAATATATCGAAAACAGTCAGTAAGTTCATACCGACATACATACACTGGAACAGCTCGTCGGATTTATTTCTCCAAAACCATCTTAAACCAGATGGAACTATGTGTTGATTAAACAGCTGAATATTAATTAGTAATATTGTGAGTCAATTAGTTAAGCTGCTTCCAATCACCAGTCGATGGGATTTTGGTTCGGTATAAATGGATTCATCACCACTATGCGTTCACTAGAACCTCAATCATTAATTGATACAGTTTAATGCGTATATATAAAATTGGCTTTTAGACGAAAAAGGTCCTTCTCACACTCTAAGAAGCCTTATATCCAGCAAGTAAACATTTATATATAAGTAATTTTAATTCTACTAAAATGAAGTCTTACTTCAAAGTGTCCAAAGACAATGTGACTCCATCCAAATCATGATTCGGCGGCACCTGCTTTATCATATTGTTGGACAGGTCCAGATATCGTAGCTGCCGGAGTGGAGCCAGCTCTTCGTAAGGAATATACGACAGTTGATTATCACTTAGAATCAGCTGAAATTAAATTCAAATACATTCATAATTGAGGTGTCATATTTTGTTTTAATTTTTTTTTGTTATATCAAAAATAATTTGTAATGGACAAAAAATTATTCACTGTCCTTTTAATTACAGAGCTGGATACATCTTGTTAGTCTTGAACACAAGCGCAGAATAGCTAGCCTCTCGATATTCTATAAGATACATTTCGGAGAGTGTGCTCAGGAATAACATGATTCAATTACAACTCTTTGTTATCAACGTTACACGGATTCGTACTAAATACGATTTGTTTCGTGTGAACACTGCACACCTAAGAAGTGGAATCATTATCTGGGTCTGTTTGATCTTTAAGTTCAAGGCATGAGTGAATAGGCTTATGTTGCGCTAAGTCTGTGCGATTTACCATCTGTAGCTACATCATCACTTACCATCGGGTGAGATAGTAGTCGAGCATTAGCTTGCTAAATTTAAAAAGAATAAAAAAGCACTCATCTCGTGGTATTTGGTAATGAAGTTCTACTTCATCTCCATCTACCACCAGGTAGGATTTCGTTGCACTAGCTTATAATAAGAAAAATGCCCAATTTCTTCTTTCTTAGGTTGGTGAGTGCAGAGCCCATACTCTCGCACTGGTAATGCTGTTCTCATCGTTAGTCTGTGAAATTTAGGTTGCAGCTATTTTCGATAGATTTTTAGCCTTCGATTGGTAGCTAGAGCTACGTCCGTAAATCATAAGAGCTATGTATCCTGGTAGGGTTATATGACAGTCCAGTTCTTAACTTATAACACTTTGAAGTTTGCCTTTTTTATAATTTTTTTGTAAAAAGTAATCACGTTAGGATTTTCTCCTATATCGTGGAGGCATATATACATAAATTGCAGAAAGACAACATCCAGACTCGGAATAATTACTTGTAGGAAATAAAATACTTGTTCAGTGCGAGATTCGAAACCACGGCCCGCAGCGCCGTAACTGAATACTAAGCCAATGCGCCACGGAGCCGTCACATATTTACATTTAATTTTCGAACAGACTTTTCCTTAATAATAAGTTAAAAAAAATTACCATGTTTTTTTATCATATTCTTGCGTTGTCGTCCGTATTTAAGCTATATTCAAAATTTCAAGTTTCCAGCTCAATGGGAAGTTAGTTTAAAATAAATTACTTAGTTCCATTCGTAACGACAGACAGACAGACCAACAAGAACGGGATTTAATAAAAACGTGTTAGTAAAATAACGCAATTTGATCAAATAAAATAATTTTGAAATTACCTTATTCAGTCTATTCATCCCATCTCGGAACACACCGCTGTCAATAACAGGTAAATGGTTTCCACGCAGATCCAAGATTTCCAGCATAGGTAACCCAGAGAACGCATCCAAAGGCAAAGTGGTGATGGAGTTGTCGGCGAGGATCAAAGTGTGCAAAGTATTCTCCAAGCCTCTCCAATTGTCACCTGATATATCTGTTATCTCGTTGCCTAAAATGTAATACACGAACTTACTTTAATTTGTGGTATTGTATATCGAACATTAGTTTCCTTAAACTGTTAAGATTGATATCATAATACATTGTTTGATAAACAAGCTTTACTTAATCGATCTTTAAAGTTAGAATCCGATTGCTTTTCATCGTCATCATCAAGTGAACTGTGAGCTCGTTTGTCACTTTTTTCTATAAAAAAAATCTTCGATTGCCAACCCGCCTGCGAACTATGACAAATGTCGTGGCAATTATGGTAAATATTCCCCATAAAAGGCAATATTTTAATGAGTTGATCAGTAGTGAACTTTTAATAAGCTGTATTGTTGTTGATGGTGATGATGATGATTATGAAAAACTAACTTTAGCAAACTTATTATAATCGTATAGCGATTTCAAGCATTACATTCCCCGGTTGAGCACCCACATTATTGCAGCAGCATGGACCTACCACATCAAAATTATAAGAAATTTTACTAGGAATCACGGTAGATGAAAAATTGTTTAATGAGAAATTGAAGCCGTCTCGACGAGACGAGGCGACGATAGGTCGGAAGCCGAGACGGTTTTATTGGTGTCCAGGCAATCGACCTTAGCTCTCATCGGTGACATTTATATCGTATTATTCTTAATCGAGGATAGATGTAAGTATCTATGCCTTACAACATCCATATTATCATTATGTTATCACCTTACTTGTTAAAAAAAGAATACATATTTGATACTTTAAAACTTTAATTAAATGTAAAAGCTAGTTTCAAATAACTAGAAATATTAAAAAACCGACCTAATGGTGTAATCTAATCAAATTAAAGATTTTTTTTGACTGTCCATATCTTGTCTCAAAAATCACCTTTCGTACTCCAAAATTCCGTACCCGCAATACTACATTGTTACAAACTCCCTGGCATCATTCAAACTACTGTCGAAACACTGTTCTTTCGCGGCTTGCTCGTACATATAATGAACAATTAGGACACATTGACCTCTTTGCGAAATCTAAACTTACGTTTAAAGATTACATCAAGAAAACTATTACGAAATAGAGCAGTTGAAGTTAAAATCACATACAATCATATATTCTCTCATCTATTTCTTCTATATGTATTTTTGAGGCTACTAATATAAATATAAGTACTTAAGTTATTTTATTTAATATATATTATAATTAATTATTTGTATTATGTTTATATATTTAAATATTTAATATGTATATATACATAAGTAAATATATATGTATGTATATATATATATATATATATCTTATATGTTTATATATATATATATATATATATATATATATATATATATATATATATATATATAGGTAATGTAATATATCATTCTACCTGACTATCTCTCCTGATCTGTAAACTTATGACCACCTTCATTACATTGAATTGCTTATAATTTTGCTTATAATTTATCTATTAGATTGTTCTTTTTCCTTTTCTTCTAACAACAATACACCTACCATCAAACAATATAAGGGAAACCTGTTATTGGCCATATTTTTAGTTTGTTACATTAATGTTAATATTTTCTATATACGCTGTTGGTTTTCTAAATAAATAAAATAAAATAAATAAAATGCGAAAATTGCTTTTTAATCCCCGACGAAAACATGAATTTGTAGTGTGTGTATCTGTTTGTCTGTCTGTGGCATCATAGCTCCTAAACAGATGAACCGAATTTGAATAAGATTTTTTCGTTTGCACGGTGTCTTAATCGAGAATGTTCTTAGCTATGTTTGAAGAAAATCTGTTCAGCCGTTTCTGGATCTTTATCCGAATTTTTGTTTCAGGGTTTTTAAATTTTTTAATTTAAGTTATTAGTTGTTCGAAGTCGGCTTTTACCTTTAGTAAAATATAATATTTTTACCATTTTAATAAATACAACTTTAAAGCTGATGTTTAAATAGTTACATTAAAATAAAAGGTTTAATTAAATGTATAATATGGAACCACACTTATAGTATTAAACTACCTTGACAAAAATGTCGCGTGGTGGTCTCAACAACCACTTACCACCGCTTGGTGGTAAGTGGGTGCTGTGACCCAAAGAATCAAAATGCAGATGCGTCGTCACCCGCGAGGACTAAGATGGAATGCCTCTTTTCCAGTAAAATGGGTCCCCAGTTTTCTACACTCACCATACGAAATAGAGCAGTGTCAATCTGCCATTTTACGCTGGTATTCTGTGAGAACATGTTCCTTCCCCGGTCGAGTCAACCCATTCGTGCTACAAATATACTACTAATATAGCTGCAGCATGGCTCTACCACGTAAAAGATTTTTTTTACCTTTTTGAGAGGAATAAAGATTATCACAACCTTAAAGCTATTAGAATGTCTAAATAGTTACATTAAAATAAAATGTTTAATTAAATGTTTATTAAATAATAATATTCTTGTAGTTTTTAGACACCTAAATAAGAGAGTAAAAGAAGTAGTTTAAAGGAAAAAGCAAGAAAGAACGGATAAGAATGATAGAAGAATATCGGATAACTTCCAGGCAAACATTAAAATATTCTGGAAACTCGTAAGAACTACCAGGGGACATTCACAACAGCCTAGAATGAATGCTATACGAGACCAGAATGGCTGTATTCTGAATGACGAAGTTTTGAGTTTAAGGAGATGGAAGGAATACTTTGAAAGCGTGTTTATGAGTGATGAGACGTTTGAATTAAATGAAATAGGAATTCCGAAAGAAGAGGAAATAGATAGAGATATAAGTATAGATGAAATAATGAAAGCAATGAAAAGTATGAAAGTAGGTAAGGCAGCCGGTTGTGATAGAGTATCTCTCGAAATGCTAAGGGCTGGAGAAGGAGTGGTGGCAGACCTGCTGTACACCTTGTTTAATTTATGTTGGGAACTTAAGCGGGTACCGGGAGACTGGTGCAAAGCCGTGATAGTCCCAATATATAAGGGAAAAGGATCACAGCAGGACTGTAAAAACTACCGTGGTATCAGCCTTCTTAGCATTGTGGGAAAACTGTATGCTAAGGTACTAATTGAAAGAGTTATGAAAGAAACTGACGGAAAAATCTGGGATGTGCAAGCGGGATTTAGAAAGGGAATGGGATGTACGGATCAGGTCTTTTCCATGCGCATGATCGCCGAGAAGTTTTTGGCCAAAAACCAAAGAGTTTTTTGTGCGTTCATGGACTTGGAAAAGGCTTATGATAGAGTGGACAGGGATGTGTTATGGCAAACACTGAACTCATTTGGGTTGAGCGCTGGTCTGATACAGGCATTGAAGTCTCTATATAAGGACTCTAGTGCTTGTGTCAGGATCAACGGGGCCTACTCGGACTGGTTTGACATCCATAAAGGTGTCAGACAGGGCTGTGTGGCTTCCCCGTGGTTGTTCAACCTATTTATGGACAGTTGTTTGGAAAATTTGAAAGTAGAAGAATGCGGGTTAAGAATGGGTGAGTTAACCGTCAAATGCCTTTTGTACGCCGATGATCAAGTCATACTTGCGTCGTCGGCAGCCGAGTTGCAAATGATGGTTACATTAATGAACAGGACATTAAAAGAAAAGGGAATGAAAGTGAACGCAAGTAAGACGAAAGTTATGGTTTTTGAAAGAGAAGAAAGTAAAACGATATGTGAAATAAGAATAGAAGGGGAGTTGGTAGAGCAAGTAGATGAGTTTGTATATTTGGGATGTGTGTTTAGCAGGGATGGTAGATATGATAAGGATATAGAACGACGAGTGAATGCAGGAAATAGAGTGAATGGGGCTCTACACTCTATTGTGAAAAGTCAGAATGTGTCCAAAAAGGCACGTATGGCAATTCACAATGCTGTGTTAGTACCTACTTTAATGTATGGTAGTGAAAGTTGGGTGTGGCCGAAGAAGCATGAGAGTAGAATAAATGCTGTAGAAATGCGGTCATTAAGGAGTATGTTAGGGATGAAGCTGAATGACAGAGTGAGAAATTGTTTAATAAGAGAAGAGTGTGGTTTGCAAGATGATGTTGTGACCAGGATTAAGAAAGGAATGCTTCGGTGGTTTGGCCATGTAGAAAGAATGAATGAGGAAAGAGTGACAAAGCAAATCTATGTTGCAGAGGTGAACGGCATAGTCGGGAAGGGTCGCCCTAGGCGAAAGTTTATCGACCAAATTGGCGATATATTAAAAATGGGCGACTAGCGTGTATGCGTAGGTATATAGATGTGGAAGAAGCGAGAGAGGTGTGTCAGGATCGTGCCAAATGGAAGTCCATAATCTCTGCCTACCCCTCTGGATGACAGGCGTGAGTGTTTATGTATGTATTCTTGTAGTATTAACCTACGCTATTGAATATAAAAATAATCTTTAAAATCGATTCACAATTGACAAAAATATCGCGTAACATACAAAAGAAAGAATAGGTGCTAAGCCAAAGTGTATAGAAGTTAAGCCGTAGTAAAAACTTCAGAATGTAAAATTTTTTTTTCTGGAATCGGCTTTTACTTTTTGTTAAAAGTTTTTTTTTTGCCCTTTTGAGATTACTAATAAAATTTTTAATTTCTCAATGTCAACTAAATAGTTATAATAAAAACTTCGTCAATTATTTTGCAACTATCAGGGGTGGACTTTTTAAACCAAATTTATACCACCATTGAAGCATTACTCTAGCCTAAAATAAAAAGGAATAATTGCAAGGGATTCAAAAAAAAATTTACAAAGAAAAATTTAACAAAGATCTCATCGGGCGTTAAACTTAACAATCCGTGTTAGAAAATCTAGTTTTGTTTGAAAATACTTAGGCCACTTTATATTAAAATAATTTTCGTTGATATATTTACAATTGATCGAAAATCAAAATATTTTTTTTATTCCATAAAAGTATTAAAAGAGCATAATTTGTTATAATTCGAGAGATAATGCTTAATATTGAACTAGGTATGAAGTCAATTAATTTATCACAGAAACAGGTATTCTCTTCGTAATAGCTATAATTAATGACTTGGATTATGTTAGGTAAGCTATTTGAATGGAAATTAATGTCTATGCAAATAAAACCATAGACAATCTGTTGATTGAAAGTCAGTTATTTTGTTTCATTAAAGTTGCTGCTAAAAGAGAAATTTTAGTCTGTAACATTGGGTAAAATGATAATATTTTCAGAATTAATTAAATGGACTGTATTATACTAAGTCAGGTCATAAGTTCTGTCAATAACTTTTTATAAAATTAATGATATACTTTTCGATAATTATATAGAAATTACATATGAAATGAAAGGTAATTTAATTTAGAATACAATTTTCGGACGCGGCCAATCATCAATCGCAGCACGCACCACATTCATATCTATTTCTGCCGCTGCTTTAGCCAAAAATGCTCGGAGAGATTCCAAATTCTGATGAGGTTTAGCGCAGACTTTCTCCTTCAAATGTTGCCCAATCTAGTAATCCAGTGGGTTTAAATCTGTTCTAGAAGAGGGCCAGTCTTCATGTCTGATAAAACCAATTCCACGGGCGGCCAACCAGTTTTGCGTGCTTCGTGCCCTATGAGCTGTTGCAGTCCTGTTAGAATATCGAATGTCTGTTTTTGAACATTTTTTGAGAAAGAAGTTCTACTATGTTCGTTAGGATGGTATTTTCATGCACCTCGGCACTGGTTTTTACACCTTTTTCACAGAAAAACACCTCAATTAAACCTGAATATGAGATTCCAAGCCAAACCACGAGTAATGAAGGATAATATCCTCGTTGAACCCTCGGAATACGCGTGCTGGCTTCTTCACTGCTGTGGACATACACCTTATCATTTTGTTTCTTATAAATTTCTTCGACGTTAAAAAGTTTTTTATCCAAAAACAAAATTTCGCGGTATGTCTTACCCGCGTACCGCCGTAGCAATGCGCGGGATCTATCCAGCCTAATTTTTTTCAAACGCTCGTTCAAAAAATGTCCAGTCTTCTTACGATAATCTCGTAGTCCTAGGTCTTAATTGGTGACTCTTTTGACCGTGGTTCTGCTTAGGCTCATCTGAACAGCTAAGATTTTTTGTTTACGAAAAGTATTTTGTTGGGTTCGCGCCTTCACTGCTTTGATGATCGCGGGTGTCCTAACTGTACGAGGTCGGCCGGTCCTCTTACGATCTTCGAAGCTTAAATCTTCAGTGAATCGTTTGATAGTGCGATAAACAAATCGTAGGGTTAATTTAAATTTTTATAGAATATTGAAAATCTCTTTTGGCGCGTAACTACAGCGGTGCAACGCGATAACCGCTATTCTATCTTCTTTCTTCGACCACTCCATATTTTAAAATTAATGAAAATTAATGTCTTTTTTATTTTCGGCAAGCGCGAACGGTATTTTTTTTTAAATTGGTGAAGTCATCTAGCCAGTATTCAATTTTTTTAAATAATAAGGTTTTGACAGAACTTATGACCCGACTAAGTATATTAGCAACAAGACTTACTACATACTCTTTTATAAGTAAAAGTGATGAATGAGCACACAGTCCACCTGATGATCCAAAGACACTAACATCTATTTTAATTAAGAATTACATCAAATTTAAAACGTGCATGCGTTGTCATCTTTATGGTTTAAGATGAAATGACTCGTTAACAGTAAAATAGTCTCCAGTTTTCGTCGCTTGCCATACGAAACACACCAGCAAAATGCTGCTATTTTACGCTAATATTCTGTGAGGGCGTAGTCTTTTCCCGGCCGAATTATTCGTGTTAGATAGCATAATACACTGCGGCGTGACTCTATTACGTATATTTGTTTAGCGTTTTCAAAATTAATAATATGCTGCCATTAGTCGGTCGGTATCTCATTCGCTAATTATTAACATTACCACGTTCAGGTGAGATTGGCATTTATAGAAGTTAAATCCTCTTCTTTTTAAGACTTGAAGTGCGATTTAACAGTCAACCCGATGGTAAGTAGCTACCTACTGCAGTCCATTGACACTTGCAGAAAATCTGTAACCTTCGTTCGAAACTTCGAATCGGTTTTTTTTTCTTTAAAAAAATTCTAGTAATACTATTAAACATTACTAATATTCCCTTTAACCACTTCTGGTAAGCTTAAAATGCTTGTGTTAGAAGTGGTTCACGACAGTAGTCGAATGGCGGAATCGAACGCACGACCTTTCGAGTTCGCGGTCCGCGCCCATTCTTTAGGCTACTGACGCTTATAATGCGTTATCAGCTCAGAAAACTAAGATGGAATGCCTCATTGCCTATAGTTATACCGGTTCTCTATACCCTTCATACCGGGACAGAGCAGCACAAGGAATACTAATTGGTAAGAAAGTGGTACCTAGACCACTAGACTGGTACCAGACTCCTAGGTAGAAAGGGATTCCTACCATCTAAAAACTCTTTACTCGCAAGAAAAAAATTATAATTCAAGAATTAGCAGTATATTTTTAGTTTAATCTTCAACTATTTTTAATATAATAATAATTTACACAATTTTATTATAAGTATTTATATAAATTAAAAAATACCAATGTTACGCAAATGATTAATCTTGAATTAAAAATAAAATGCAAAAGCGCATAAGTGTATTAAAAATGTATTGTTAATGTGTAAAGCTCACTTTTTATGAACAAATTTCAACTTTATTAAATCTATATTTTGGGGCTGATGACAAGACTAACTGATTATAAAAGTAAAAGAAATGAACTATGTTATGATATACTCGTACCTGTAATACCTAATGTGTATTTTACCTTATGATATGATGATTGAAAAATGACAACTCTTCACAAAATTTCAAAACTCTTAGTACAGATATAATTCAAAATATGAAACTTTGAGTGATAAATTCAATGTAGAGTGTTCGGCTCTTTAACACAAACATAAAGACGTCAATGAAATTACTTCGGCAATTCAACTACTCACCCGTCAGATCCAGCAACCTTAATTTCTGTAGATATCTAAGCGCTCTGCTCGGTACAGCCGTCAATTTATCGTGCTTCAGTTCGAGCTCCCATAACGTGTTGTCGAGGCCATAGAACGCTTCCTCGTGTATACTCTCTAAGGGGTTCTCGTTTATAGCCAGCCTGTAGAGACCTGCAATCGATTGAGCGTTAAATTAAACTGTTTGTCACTTTGTTGTTAATATACGTTGAAGCGAGATGCGAATCACTTGCGGTGAGTTGTAAATTAAATTACATAGATTAATAAATAACTTAACAATTATTAAAATCACCAATAGTACGTAGTAATAACATATATTATTTGCTAATAGTGTAAAGGATTGCTTTCATTTTGTGTTTAAGCTAGAGAAATTAATTTTCAGCCCGTCCGATAAGTGGCTACTTCAACCAACTTATAACGAAGAACATCACACACCCTTGATACTAACATACATTGCAGCCTGTCATTACACTGTACTATTTATTCATAAATCCTATATTATGAAGAACAGAAATATTAATACCTATTAAATATAAGTATCATAGAAGTTAACTACGGAATTTACCAAAAGAAAACCATACAAAGCAGAATAATAGCTTTAAAGTTTCCTGATTTAATACTCAAAGCGAATCGTCTGTGAATAGATAGAGTTTGGGGATCTTCCCAAAACTTGAAGTATGAAAGAGCGTTCAGCTTAAGGCACCGTAGCCCCAGAGCAAGTGTTTCAGACCATCTCCATGCATACTAGTCACTAAATTTCTAAACTAAGGATGCCTTAATTTATTTTGATTTAATTTTAAACTAACTAAGGATGTCCCTCTTGTATCCAGCAGAAGATTTGTAACAGTTTGCTGACGATGATGTCTCATAATTATTTTTTAGTAGTGAGTAAGTATATTCTCTTCTTAACTGTTCTTTGATTTTTTAATTAAGGCAAAAAACAAACCCGTAAAATGTCATCAGTTGAGCATTGCACTGGTATCTTGTAGAAGAAAATCAAACTTTACAAAAATAAATATTTGCCTTTATATTATCATGTTAACCTGATGCATAATCCTTTCAGTTAATTCAGCATCGACCTTAAGCTTGTGGATTTATACAATGGTATTTCGCTAATAATCCGTTTAAGGGGCTCAGGTATAACGTACATGGAGAGTTAGCAGTAATAGATCCACTTAAAGTATTGGAAAAGGTCTCTAGGCTAGAAAAGGCTTCGATGGAAGGCACGTCATCAGAAATTAAATAATCTAGCGAAAAATGTGGCGTAATTATTATCAAATCATTTTTCAATTTTATAACCTAAGTACCATATTGTCTTAGTTGATTGTGACGGCTTCGTGGCGCACTGGATTATCATTAAGTAGCAGCGCTGAGGGCCACGGGTTCAAGTCCCGCTCGGAACAAGTATTTGTATGGCCTACAAATATTTTTTCCGAGTACATACTCATAGATTGCACAAGGACCAACAACATTTTATGTATTATGTATATTTATGTATGCCAGTATGCCTCCACGATACAGGACAATATCCAATTTGAGGGCAACGTTTTGTAAATAAAGAAAATATTTCTTTTAATAGAAATTGCTGCTGCTTCAGTGCGTGTTGGCAAACTTTACATGTCCTTGAAATCATTTTTTCTCATACATGAAGATTTCTTCACGATATTCTCCTTCACCGTCAAGCACGTGGTAATAAATGGGTGAGATGATTTAAGTAATCTTTAGAAGGTATATGAACTGTTTACCTGTTGTTTGAAAGAACTGAGGCTCCAGATCTCTAATCTTGTTCCCCTTTAGTTGTAGCGTGAATACCTTAGAGCTATTGACGGCGGCTGGCACTCTCAGCAAAGGCACGTGCTTACATGTAACTATACCCAGATCTCCGGCTGGTTTTGAGCAAGTGCACAGCGCTTGGAACAGACATGGTGGATGACCAGTGTCCACATGGAGCTAGAACAAAACAAAATATTACTATGACTTCTTTTCTTAAGGCTGTGTTTTTGTGTGTGTCACTGTTGGTGTATATTTAGATACGTGTGTATGAGTTTTTGAAAAGTAACGGTGACAAATAAGCACATGGCACATATCTCATAGCATACTAAAATAGCAGCTTAATACTGCTGCGTTTCGTATGGCGAGTGTATAGGACCGGAGACCCTTTTTACTGGAAACGTGGCATTTCATCTTAGTCCTCAGGGGTCACAACACATCTGCATTTTAATTCTTAATCTTGGATGAGTGTAGACATCTATGGGCCACAGCATCCATTTACTATCAGGTGGACTGTATACTCGTTTGTCCGCCTTATTCTATATAAAAAAAAACATGGTCCATCTGTTGGTGATTGGATGCTGTGAGTGTGAGTATCCACTAATCCATGTTGTTCCGTGTGTGTCTTAAGAGACAAGATAGGAAAATGAAACAGGATATGGGCAGCAACACTTTCCTGATAAAAACCCTTAGTCAACTCAACGACAGATAGACTCTTATTCTGCATAGAATTCTGTGTGGGTAGGTACCACTTCTTAGCTGTTTCTGCCGCCAAGAAGCAGTGCGTGCACTCCTTTGTTGCGTTTTTGAGGTGAGGTTTTTGTTTGAAGTTAGTGTGTGATGTCAATGAGCTTCAATAGTCACTTACCATCAGGTGGGCTGTTAATTCGTTTGTCACTTCAATTTTAAAATAATAACTCAAAACGCCCGCCTTCCAATCGTGCCAAATGCACCCTTATGATGTTCATTAATATAATGATTATATGAATTACTAAAGCAGAATGCCTCTTTTTCCATTAATATGAGCCTCCAGTACTTGTTACTTATTCCGTGCGAAACATAGTCATATTATTATTCTTCCATTTTACACTAATATTCCTTCTAATAATAGTACCGAATACGTTTAATAGTGAAAGTAAGGCATTGTTTCTTAGCACTCAGAGGTGACAATTAATAAATGTAACTGTACAGCCATGTATAAGGGAACATACATCCCCATAGATTACTTCTTAGGATAAATATTCTTTAGACGAGCCAGCCAAATCGTTCCGTAACCATTCAGCTACGGCGTAGCTGTAACACGTAAAAGTCTTTTGCGTGATTTTATTGGTTACGTGTCTTTGTGTGCTTTTGAGTGGAGTTAATTTATTTATGTAGAGTGTAAGCCTATGTAGCCAAATATCCATGACGTAATATTTAATTTTTATTAAAGAGTACTAGCAATGCTGTAAACACTACTAATACTCCCTTTAACCACTCCACCTAAGCTAACAATGTGCTCTGATTGGTTAACACATGATGGATTTTTTAGTTTGCAGCATTACTACTATCGCTTCAAAATACAGTTTAATGAATGTTTCGTTAATTAATTACAATGTCAATGTCATGTCATGGAATCGTGTATGTTTATGAAGTTAATGCAAAATAAAATTATTTTAAGATTGATTGCTGACGTAATGAAACGAATGTAGCATTGTTAATTATTTGTGGTAGGTTAATGAACTTTCGCCAATATATAAAGATATCTATCTATCCGTTCGGAATGCTGCTTATGTCATAAAATACCTTGTTGATAGTACTTTATACTGCAAAGGGAATAAAGTTATCACAAGTATTATTAACATTTTAACAATATTTTATTTAACATGAATATGGTCCTACGAGCTGTATTTATTCGATATCTATCGCTAGGTTACATAAAAATTACACTAAAAGTATTATTATCATTTCAATAAAAAATAACCAAGGAATTGCCAGAGAAACAAGAATTAATGTACTAAATATTGCAAAATGTAAATATATTATTTTTTTTAAAAAAACTCGACGGCAGATTTATTTAACTACTCAAATGAGAGACCTTGACATTCAGAGATGAAGACAAATCTAACGATATCTTACGTTTCGAAATCCGTCAAGACGTTTTAACTGCTGTTCTTTTTTATATTTTTTTTTTTTTTTTTTTTTATAGAATAGGGGGCAAACGAGCATGCGGCTCACCTGATGTTAAGTGACTACCGCCGCCCATGAACAACCGCAACACCAGGGGAATTGCAGATGCGTTGCCGGCCTTTTAGAAAGGTGTAAGCTCTTTTCTTGAAGGTTCCTAAGTCGTATCGGTTCGGAAAATTCGCTGGTGGTAATTGATTCCACAAAGAAGTTGTGCGAGGGAGAAAACTTCTTCGAAATCGCACAGTGGTGGACCGCCAATCATCCAGATGGTATGGATGGTAACGCGAGTTTTGTCGCGACGTGCGATGGTGAAATTGAGCGGCTGGAATTAGTCCGAACAATTCCTCAGAGCACTCCCCGTGATAGATGCGATAAAATACGCAAAGAGATGCAACATCTCTACGCAGTGCCAGTGTATCGAGCCGATCGGAAAGAACTCGGTCGTCGACGATTCGAATCGCTCTGCGCTGGATGCGGTCAAGTGGAAGGAGCTGGCACTGGGGTGCCCCGGCCCAGAGATGAGAACAGTATTCCATGTGGGGCCGAACTTGCGCTTTGTAAAGTTGCAAGCGATGTGCCGGCATGAAATACTGTCTCGCTCTGCTGAGCACGCCAAGCTTTTTAGAGGCCAATTTGGCCTTCCCTTCCAAGTGACCACGAAACTGCACGCTATTCGATATGTCGACGCCAAGGATTCCGATACTGGCTGAGGCAGCAAGGGGAGTGCCTTGAAACTGAGGAGATACGACAAAGGGGTTCTTTTTAGCGGTAAACGCGCAAACTTGTGTCTTCTGGGGATTGAACTGGACTAGATTTAGTCGGCCCCAATCCGAGACTTTGTTAAGCAAAGACTTGACTTCAGACACAAGTTTGTCCCGGTACTCGGCGACGTTTTCCCGAGAAATATTGGCACGGCCGGTATATAAGGCATCCCCAGTGCTGTCGTCTGCATAGCAATGAATGCTACCAGTTAGCAGCATATCATTGATATGCAGGAGAAACAGCGTTGGTGATAGCACGCAGCCTTGTGGAACACCAGCGTTGATAGGCTTGTAATCAGAGCATGCACCGTCTACTACGACCTTGATGCTCCGATCAGCAAGGAAACTGGTGATCCATTTGCACAATTTCTCGGGAAGCCCATAGGAAGGAAGCTTCGAAAGAAGCGCCTTGTGCCAGACCCGATCGAAGGCCTTCGCTATGTCCAAACTAACGGCCAATGCCTCCCCCTTGGACTCTACTGCCTCCGCCCATCTATGAGTTAAGTAAACTAAAAGATCACCTGCTGATCGACCCCGACGAAAACCGTACTGACGGTCACTGATCAGCTGGTGATCCTCAAGGTACCTCATGAGCTGGCAGTTTATAATGGATTCCATTATTTTGGAGAACAAGGAGGTGATGGCGATAGGCCTGTAGTTGGACGGGTCTGAGCGGTCGCCTTTTTTAGGGATCGGGTGGACCAAAGCTGTCTTCCATGAATTCGGGACTACGCCTTGGGAGTAGGAGTACCGGAAAAGACGCGTTAAAACCGGTGCCAACTCCGGAGCACACGTCTTCAGCACAATGGGAGGGACTCCATCGGGCCCACTCGACTTGCTGACGTCCAGGGAGAAGAGTGCTTTGCGAACCGAGCGCTGTGTAAATCGCACATCCGGCATGGAGCACTCACATCGCGGGATGGTCGGCGGTGTGTTCCCCCCGTCATCTAGAGTCGAGTTGGACGCAAAAAGAGAGCACAACAGATCGGCTTTCTCTTTTGCGGCATGGGCCAGTGAGTCGTCCTCTCTGTGCAGAGATGGGAGGGATGGCTGACAGAAGTTCCCTTGGACAGCCTTGGCGAGAGACCAGAATGCACGGGTTCCCGAAGGAAGGCGAACTAGTTTCTCGCCAATTCTGCCGATGTGCTCAGACCTTGCCTTGGCAATGACGCTTTTGAAGGACCTGGAGGCGGAATTATACTTCTTTTTAAGTGCGCTGGTGTTTAAATCCCGAGACGTTGATGCGTCAGCCCAGGCCCGGTAGCACTCCTGCTTATAGCGTGATGCTATTTTACAGGAGCGACCAAACCATGGCTGGGATCTGCCTCCGATGGGCACCACAGAGGATGGAATAAAAAGTTCCATACCCTGAAGTACCACATCAGCAACAGAATCGGCAACAACGCTGGGATCTTCCGGCGAGAAGCAAACCCGCCCCCAAGGGTAGGATGCAAAAAAAGACCGCATCCCGTCCCAATCAGCTGACCTATAGTGCCAAACACGGCGGCAAGCTGTAGATCGCAACTGCGATTGGAGCGTGAGTGGCACTGTGCTCCGGATCAGACAATGGTCCGAAGAGCCCAGAGGGGCATCGACGGAGACCTGATATCCGTCCGGATGAGAGGTCAGCAGAAGGTCCAACAGGGAAGGTACATGGTCTTCCACATCTGGGATCCGCGTAGGCGAAGTAACCAGTTGTGTTAGACCATATGCCAAAGCAAAGTCGTAGACAGATCTACCCGCATGATCGGTTGAACGAGAACCAAGCCATTCAGCGTGGTGGGCGTTGAAATCACCGAGTATCACGATCTCTGCGGATGGGACCTGTTGTAGCACGGAGTCTGCAGCCATTTGGACGTGGTCGATGAGTCGGTCTGTGTCGGCATTACCGCTATGGGACCTATAGAGGCACCCGTAGACGCGGGGATGGTCGTCGCTGTCTACGCGCAGCCATAGGATGGACAGGTCCGTACCTTCAAGGCTGCCGAGGCGTCGAAAACAGATGTCCTCTCTGACGTATACACAAACTCCAGCCCGGGGCACAAAGGAGTGTTCCAATTTGTACCCCGGGTAGGAGAGATATGAAGTATCAGCCGGAGAGGACACCTGAGTCTCGGTTAAAAAGAGCAAGGCCGGCTTCGCCGTCTCTAGATGGTAATGGACAGCGTTAAGGTTGGAATGAAGTCCCCTGATGTTGCAAAAATTCACGGATAGCGTGACAGGGGTCGCCTTGGTTGTATTGCTCCGCTT